GTTAGGGTGTGCGGTTGTCCGATGGAATGCATCTCCCTTCTCAAATTCTTGTATGCAAACCAGAAAAATCAAGTAAGATGGGCCGTTACACTATCGGATAAGTAAAGATTGCAATGTGGCGTAAGACGGGGGGGGGGGGGAGGTTAATCTAGTTGACGATAATTGCTTCAATAATGTAAGACATGGTGCTGCTGAGTCCCTCAATAAATACACTGAGGACGATATTGTCCAATATATGAGACATGTGCGAAGACACATGGGCTAAAATATAACGCTATTAAAAGTCAACTTCTTATATTCAAAGCAGGCAAACAGCTCTCCCATACAGCCTCCAGTGGCCCTCGATGGGGTGCCCCTAAAGCTGGTGGATAGTTTTAAATATTTGGAACACATTGTGACAGGAGACCTACGGGATGATAAGGACATAGAAAGGGAGCGCAAGGCGTTGACAGTGGCAGCTAATATGCTCACAGGCAGGTTCACTAGATGTACAGATAAGATAGGTACGGTTAAAGTAACGCTTTTCAAAGCGTTTTGTCAATTATTTTACTCTATAGTTAATAAAAGATGCGACAGCTGTCGGTAAAAGCACGCCTATGAAGTCCTGAATTTCTTAGTAGTACAGACAGTACCTGTCTATGTCATACTTTTTGGGCATGCCGACCTAATTAGTGCATGCCCACAAAGTATGACATTGACAGGTACTTTCTGTACGTAGACAGAGAAACCTATAGACAATTTGACGCCTTCTTTTGTATTTGCACACGATAAAGATAGATTTATGCATACGTCTTGCATAGAAATGAGACAGAGCGGTGTGATTGTTTGTCCCTTTTTACGTGCCGGTTTTTTTTTGTTTAGCAAACTACACTTTGCTAAACAACTTTGACAGTTCGTAGAAATCTAAGAAGTTTACAAGTTGGTTTAAATGAGAAAAAAGTGTTTTGTGAGCTTAAGATTGGTGAATATTGTTCAGTTCAGTTATTAGAACAATTAAAATTTTGACTTCATAGGCGTGATTTTTACTGAGAGCTGTCGCAGAGATCAAGCTATCTTTTATGAACTATAGTGGATTGCGTTCTGCGCAGTATATGCGCGTCAAACTTACAATGCTCTGCGCGTACAGTATAATAACGCTTTCATGATGTTACGGCTGCCATGGCATGCATGCACATGTATACAGATGCATAGCATTGCAATGCATCCGGCATGTTTGCGCAAGCGCGTACTAATACTTTCCAAGCGATCGTTCGGAATAAAACAGCCTAACCAAGCCTAACTCTTGCAACGCTTACGAAACAATACAGCATTCTTATAGCGATATCTGTAAGATATGACTGTCCCATACAGTCACTGGGTCAGCACAGTCAAGATTAAAATAACGTGCTTTTACTTGCAATACTAACATAGTTTTAAGTCAATATTGTAACTAACAATATATAGACTCATAGTCTGTAATAAAAATTTTATAAGGGATATCTATATAGTTTTCTCATCTGGTTGAACTGTATAAATATGTGGCGGCGCTGTCGTCTTCCGAATCAATATATATATATATATATATATATATATATATATATATATATATATATATATATATATATATATAAGAATAATTCGGGAACTATCACACTGAGTATTGGCCGCCCTCTGGGCAGAACACCTTGCCCGGCGGGAGATCTCCCCTTTTCCTTCCACCGCTAAACCGATGAAAACCACCGTGATTTGAACACGCAACAATGCAACATTCAGAAACTTCAAGCTTCGTCATCGTCATTAAGTACCCCCTCCATTCGCTCCCGAGCAGGTATCGTCTGCAATATATACTTTTGGCCTAACAAGTGGATAATAACATTTTCAGTAAAATTCAGTAGAGGTATTCTCTCCGATCTGTTCAATCCAGATTGACTATTATGTATTCTTGCAGCATTATGTATAAACATTTGAAAAATGTGAATAGCGAACTTTTTGTACCAGTATTTGGTTTTTTCATGCTCTCATAATATGAAATCATTTGGTCAGAGTGGTCTACTCCTCCAATTCCGTTATTGTAATCAACAACAATATTAGGTTTTAGTTTAAGTTGATTCCTGCGATTTCTGATAGTTATTTCAGGATTGTGCATATTTGAAATGGTTAGAACATCGCGTTTGTCTTTCCATTTGCAAACAGCTACTTCCCCCTTTCTTCTTCAAATCATCTCACCTTTCTTCAGCTTTGCCGATGTCACAACTTTTGAATTACCCTTACGGGTTGATTGCAAAGTTCCGCCAGCCGAAACTAGTTGCACTGTTAGTTCGTATCTAGCTCCCGAACACGAAGCAACCTGTCGTGTTGCTTCCTGTTTTCCCGCCAAATTACGAAAGAATACCATTTTCTTTGCCGACTACGAGTATAGCCCTATACGAATATACTCGTAGTCGGCATAGTCGAATGGATTTATATTCTACTATGCCAAGTACGATTTATCTCGTAGCTGTTTATATGTATGACGGCATACGGCATAAACATACCAAAATATTCTGGCGCTGAAAGGGTTAATATTTGGTGCCAAAGTATCAAATTTGTGTTTTACGTCATTTAAATTTAAGTTGCAGTTATTTATAAAAAGTTCGCATTTGCTAAAGTTAAGCTCCAAACCAATGGCTTCAAATTTATTTTTGATTGAAAAAAAAGGTCAGAAAATACAGTTTCCATATCACCTCCTAAGGTTCCGTCATCCAGATACCAAATATTGAATTTAGAATTTAAACTTTTGATTATCGGATTTATAGCCAAACTAAAAATTGCTAGTCCAAGGGGATCACCTTGTTGACAACCTACTTCCGAGGATAATTCATTAGACCAATATAACAATTTTGTTGGGTCAGCGTAACTGAGAAGAAGATAATTGTATATTTCCGGTATATGTTGATTTATTTCAGTCAGCAGGGTCCCCCTATTTACCGAATTGAAAGCATTTTTGACATCAATTTTGAGCAACACGTCAGGATGTCCATATGTTAGGAAAGAACGTAGGGCATGGACGGCTGCCTCACACCCTCCTTTTACACCGAAGCCTAACTGTACGGGTTCAAATTCCGAATTTAATTTCTGTAAAATATGTCGAACAGCAATTTTGGAGGCCAGGCGTCGTAGTGTTGATCCAACAGCAATTGGTCTCACCCCTCCGTTCTTTTTGCTGAGAGCAATGAGGTTCGCGCCGAAAAGAATTGGAACAATTTCTGGATTGACATTACCGGAATACATAAAATTGATTAATTTAGTGATCGAATTTACAAGTTGCTCACCTGCATCACCCACAGAATGCGATGTTAAGTCTTTCAAATGTTGTGGTGAGATTCCATCCAAACCTGCAGCCGAACCTGGTTTAAAAAGATAAAATGGCATCCGTAACATCTTTGTTTTGAATTTGAAGGCATGCTTGCCCCACTGTTGGTCGGTCGAGAAAATATGGGTTTACTGGAGCTGGAGGATGTTTTGTCCGTAAGGCCTGAAGGGTGTCAGGGGTATCTGGTGAAAGCACCTCGTTGGAGAACAAAAGGCGAGCGGCACCTTTGAGATCTCCGTCACAGAATTTGTTTTCGATTAGTTTGTTGCGATTACGAGGGGCATCATGTTTGATTAGAGGTGCGGGAGAAGGTGAGGAGCTGACAGCACAGTTATTTTTAATCTTTTGTGTCAAGGATAAATTTGGTTTATCAGTTTTTGTTATATGTAGTGTGCTGTATGAAAATAAAAATAGCTTCTGCCAGTCTTGAGTACAATTGCTTATGTAACATTTCTGGATTAATTGTGACAAATGTGTAGCAACGGTTATTAGAGCTCCTCGAGGGATTCTTTTAACTGTCGGTATACTATTTTTCAAATGGCTAAGATATGTGTGAAAAGGAGTTGGAAAGTTGGCTGCAAAAGTAGGCGTACTTGGAATAATGGGGTGTATGTGTCTAAAGGTGAACTGTTTTGGCTAATACATTTCCTGTGTGTTTTTGTAGTGTGTATGTTGAGGCCTTTTAAAGATTTAAATGACTTGTTGCACTGTGTACATATAAGTGTTGCGTTTGCCGTGTCATCACTAGATTGGGTTACGGACTGCATTCACAACAGTTAAATACAATAACAAAAAAGAATAACTTAAAACAAATTCAAAAAACACAATAAAGTAACTTAAAAATTACACTGAAGATATAAAAAAGTCAAAGTCAAAATATGACGGCTGCTTGTTTTGGTAACAAAACGCATGCGTCGTTACGTAGGTGCGTCACAGGACGGTTCTGCAATTGGAAGCTGTAGTGTAAGAGATCCACGGAAGTATGGCGTCGCTAGAACAAACGATGGCGGTCTTAGCAACCGTGTCTTGAAGTTATCATACGCGGACTAGAACTTTTCAAATACTGAACAGGCACTGTAGTGGGAACAACAACAAAATCCCCATGCGCAAATATGAAAAATATCCCGACAAACTCTTATATGGCTTTGCGATACGATAGCTCTTCATCAGTCAATCAAATATATAATATTTCAGAAATCCTTTGTTGCGAATTGTTTTGTTACATTTGGCATATTATGTCACAATCTTGAAAAATTTTTATGTCTCGTAGTTAATTTCAGATATTATATAAACCACTATTATACTATTTAAATCTACGACAACAATAAAAGTTTCCTTTGTGCACTAAAATTTTACAATTAAAATGTAAAGTTATTTTTATTAAAATATTTAGACAAAATAAACATAGTTGACACCTGTCAAATTATTTTTTTTTTGCCATTCAAGGCCTGCCATTTTTTCACGATTCCAACTATCAGGAGTTTTAATATTATTTATAGTTGCCATTTGATAAGCAAGGCTTCGAACGTCTTTAGTGGATACCTAACCCATAAAATTTTAACGCACATTCTTTGATATATTCTGTCAGTGATTTTTCTTGTTCATGACATTTTGTTGACATCATAATTGGGTGTCAATCGCTGCTTGTGTAAATCCGCAGTACTAACATTTACATTTTTTTAATGTAATGTTGCAGTGTTGGATAGCATACATTATACTCTTTAGCTGTTTTTCTGATACTCCATCCTAGCCTATAATGTCTGATAGCCTGAAGCATGTTATCAGCAGTGTGGTTACCTTTCTTTCTTTTATTAACTTTAGTGCGCGCCATCTAAAACAAAAAGTAAAAATTACAATGCATCAGTAAATATTTAACTAAAAGAAAACGTAAAACAAAAGAAAAAATGTTAGTAGGTTATTTGTGTAGATATAATAAAAAACACAAACACTAGCAATGGGCCACATGGCAAACAATGGAACACGGTTCGTACACAATGAAACATGGCTCATTGTGTACAACGGGGTTTCGTTTCATTGTGTACTATATGTGACATATTTCTAAAACATTGAAATAAAAATGTAAAATAGAGTCAGAAGAACGAAAGAACATATAGCTGACGTGAAGCACCGACGCTCCGGGAAGTCTGCAGTCTGCGAACATGTTCAAGATCGTCCCCACCATTACATTCGTTTTGATAAACCACAAATTCTCGCAAAAGAACACCGATTCCTACCAAGGATGATACGCGAGGCTATTGAAATTAAAAAACATCCAAATTTCAATAGAGAAGATGGATGGGTGCTGCCACCTGCTTGGGATCCTATAATTAACAAAATTAAAACCAAACCTAAGCATACCACTGCAAGACTTCATGATACTACGAGATAAGCTCGTTTTGCGTAAATCGGACCAAAAATTAATATTCAAAAACTGAAGGTAGCCGGACTAACTGTGACATTGGGACGTCAAACATCTCAGTCCCCCCTAAATTTAGTTTTATACAATCAAGTATGTTTTGTACGTAACTGAAATCTGTAATATACGTACAATGTCAAGCAATATTAAGAAAAAAAAAAACTTTAACACATAATAATGAAAAATCGACAAATATTATTAAAAAATCTTACTTTTTTGCGTAAAATCCGTATAATGACCGCCACGTGTCTGCTTCGCACACGCCGCAGTCGCGAACTGGGGCGGTGGGAGGGGACTTGGGGCCGCGTCTTTATGTACTGTGCACTATCTGGCAACTACGCATTTTTGAAATATAGCAATGTTTCATTGTGTACTACTGGCTCAATGTTGGACAGGTGAATATATATATATATATATATATATATATATATATATATATATATATTCCTATGTTTACCGTCAAGCGGTAGTTCATCCATCATTGTTCAATATGAAGTGTAAAATAATTAATTTGAAGAAGGAAGTAAACAAACCTTTTGGCAGATCTATCTTTTACAAAAGTGAAAAAAAAGGGATGTCTTTTGTGAAAATTGAAACCTATAAAGCGGCACCAGTGTATCGACATTCGACACCTGTACACACAGGGTACATTATATATACCTGGAATAGAGTTGCTAGTCGATTCCGTGGTACAGAGACATCTATAGTGGAGTTGTCGAACTAAACGGACGATATATCTATCTATAAATATATTCTATATGTAGTACAGCCCCATCCCTGGTGTACTGATTATTTTTAATTAATTTTACACATTAGATCACCTAATTCTGCAACACTAGTTTTGTGCATATAGGCACAAAACTAGTTAGTTGCAGAATTATGTAATCAAAGGTAAATCATAAAAAAGAAAACTCAATTTAAAAATAATAATCATCTTTATTCAGGTAATTTACACCCATAACCAGTAAAAAAAAAATTAAGAATTAAGCAATCTACACAATTTCAGAAATAAATAAATAAATGTCGATCAATCAATATATTTCATCAAAGTAACAATTTTAAATTAATAAATCCAACAGTAATTATAAGTAGGTAGTAATGACAGTATACAATGTAAATTAATCGAAATAAAATAACATAAAATTTAGTTTATTTACCTAAGGTCTTGGTATTTAAAATAATAAAGCAACTTATCTACTACACAAAAGTTATAAGAAAAATAAAATAAGATGCACAAATTACAAAAAAATAGTACAATAGACAAAAAGTTGAAATATCCAATATCTTGAAAACGGTTAGGTTTGATGTATGGTGTTTCATAGTCGTAATAGTCGGTAATGATGCAAATTACAACCCCCTAAAGGATCTAAGTCGACTTAACCAATATAATTTATATTGAAATATATATACAGGGTTACCCTGTATATATATTTCAATATTTATCTACTATGTTCCACTTGGCACTAACGTTTGATGTTCCCTGGTCACATACAGTAGCAAGGATTTTTAAAGCCAGACCCCTTCAATTTTCTTATATTTCTTTTAATCATTAAGGTTTATTCAGCTTTTTTTGTACTGCAAGCACAAAATGAATATGATATCGGCTGTTTATAGTTTTTAGAATACCTCTATTTTAAGTTCAGTCCTCACTACATCACCATTGTCAACTAAACCAGTAATTGAAATAATACTAGTCTTTACCGATTTTATCGCATATATTTAACTATAAATACCCGACGTTTCGAGCGCTTTACAGCACCGGAACGTTGGGTATTTATAGTTAAATATACGCGATAAAATCCGTAAAAACTAGTATTATATCAATGTGTAGTGTTCGCGTAAATATAAGAAATCATTATGTAAACCAGTAATCCTGTCATTTTTCCTGTCATAACGAATATGTGGTGTTAAGGCCATTTCATCAAAAACCAGTGTACACAATTTATCATTGGCTTTCATATTAGATAGATGCTTGCTTCTTAAGCTGGTAAAATATGTTTTCATTTATACCAGGCTTAATATTGGCCTTAGATACCATCCTGCTTAAGGCGAAAGGTGATGGCAGAACAAATATCTTTTGCAGCATCCTGTAGGCTCTTGGCTCATGTTAAAAAAATGTAATGCCATCACTTTTTCATCAGGTGTGAATTGTCTGTCCCTTTATGTTTACCACATTCTCGAAATTGTAGCATCGTAAAAACTGTTGCCATTGAGGTAAAACTTTTAAATGCTTAATGATTTCTTAAATTTACGCGAACACTACACACTGAATAAAACTAAATTTACGGATTCTATCGCCTTTATTTAACTGATTTTACTTATTTGTAATTCCCGACGTTTCAGTTCACGACGTTACAGTCCACCCCGTGACCATGGGTGCTGTAAAGCACCCGAAACGTCGGGAATTAAAAATAAGTAAAATCAGTTAAATAAACGCGATAGAATCTGTAAATTTAGTTTTATTCAACTTTTAAATGCTTTCAAGAAAGTAGTATTTTCTAATAGATTCATTTTCTTCTTCAGTCTTTTTGTTCTTTCTTCATACTTTCTTATTTCTCATTTGCTATATTCAAGCTTTTAAGTTTCTTTTTTAACATTGTAACTCTTGTACTAATTTGAGTCCTTTTGGGCTTAGCCACCTTCAAGCCTGAAATTAAAATGACAAAACATTATATTTATATAGACCAAGAAAATTTGTACTATAGTTTAGTAAAAATAAATTTAATTGTAGCAAGTTGATTGCATTTTGAATCATAATTTGGAACATAGTAGATAAATATTGAAATATACAATATGATAGGGTTACAGGTTAAGTCGACTTAGATCATTTAGGGGGTTGTAGTTTGCATCATTACCGACTTTTTCGACTATGAAACACCATACAAACTTAACCATTTTCAAGATATTGTATATTTTAGTAATGCAATAGTGGAGTACTTGTGCAGGCGAAACATGAAATATAATGGCAAAAGTGATAAAATATGTTTACTTATTAAAGTAATTATTAAAGTTAATATTTTGGTGTTTTCTTTGGTACAAGAGCGAGCAAAGGAAGCTCGGGACTTGGGGCACACCAACTCAGATAGGTTTGGCTAGAAAGATTTGTGGTTAATTTTTCATAATCCACCCAAAATAATGGGGGCTCCATCAACTAAACTTTGGTATTGCTTCGGTGAAGTGGGGTCACGCCCCCTCCCTGACTACCTATTAAGGTGATTTTTCTTATAAATTATTTTATAAAATTTTGATCTTTAACATTTAATATAAAAATACCATGCATCTCATGGTGGGGGGACAGGTGGGGGGCGAAGAACACCTGTGAAAAATATGTATACTATAATGTAAATTATGGATCTTACAGCAATGTCGAATTTTACAGACTGAGGCAAATCAAGTAACTTCTCTTGTGATTAATTAAGTTTGGTAATAAGGCCAAATGAAATACTAACTTTTTTGTTCTTAAGCAAATGAATACTGCACAAATTTGGGCATCTAAACTTTAATTATTTATTTATTTATTTGTCACACCAACAAGATATAAACTACAAGCTTTCTAAGAGTAGACAGTAAATAGTTTAATGCTCAGTGATACCTCTTTTATAGGTGTAAACTACATGAATATTGAGCGTCATACTCATATTGCTTTTTGCTTTATAAATAGTTTTCTTAAAGGGAACATTACAATAAAAACAGTACAATCAGATTTACAATTACACAGTTTTTAACACATTACGTTTTGCTTACGAAAATATAAAACGATAAATTTCAATGTCAAAGAATTAAAATGTTATTATATAAGGGAAAAAAATGTTTATGAATAAATAAAGGAATGAAAACAATGTCAATGATAATATCAATTTGAATTACTAATTAAAAAAATTAAAATACAATTATTAAAATACAATTATTAAGATTAAAATTATTTTATACAGTAATAAAAAAAGAAACATTAAAAATTAACAATAAATATTTTAAAAATTGTTTATCAGTTGTGTGACTACCCTTTTAAAGTGACGTAAGGGGTCTGAGAAAATATCCAAAGTTTGTGTCTTTCGAAGTTTCTTCGAAATACATGGAACATCTTTGAATATAATTTGTTCACTCCCGGTATTACCAATATCTTTGTTATGTATCTCGTTGTAACTCCTCACTAATCTGTTTAGAGGAGCATAAATAGCCTAGATGTGACAGATAGGTATTAAATATAGATCAGTTTGAAAGAAACTAAGGCGTTCTTTATTAAGGCCGATTTACATTATCTTAATGTTTAGGAGAGTATTTTAGTACAACTTGAAAGGCAAGTTCTTTAGTGCTTTAGTGCGTTGCGAGTGAACGTTTACATTTCTTCCAGTAGAGTATCATTACAGCGCCACAATGAACGCGCAACGACGTCGGCAAATACGCTCTATTCTACGCAAAATACTAACTGTAGTTATGAAACAAATAGAAGACGAGATTTTATTCGAAATAAATAAACCGAAACGAATGTGGGAGCGTCAATGGATTAGTCGCAGATCCATGCTTGGAGGAAGTTCTTTGTTGCTAAAAGAACTGGCTATTGAAGATCTTAAAGAATATCGCGATTCGATGAGAATGACACAAGAATCCTTCAATTGGTTACTAAACAAAGTAAGGCATGCTATTGGAAAAGTGATACAGAACTCTTGGGCTACCTGCGTCTGCGCTAGGTATCACATTGTTTCCCAAGGTGACTTATATATAAAATAGAAAGAAGAAATAATATATTGACTGGTAGAACCTGTAAATAATTAGATTTACTCACAGCTATTAGTACATCCTGAAACACAGAAAATTTTATCCGCGGCCATCACTAAACTATACGAACTATATCCGGGAGAGAGTTCAAGAATAGCCAAGTCGTAAGAAAATATAGGAAAAATATCAAAAATCCAAAACAGTCAAAGCACAATCGTTACGTCAGAAAAACAAAACGCCAATTTCAAATTTAAAAACAAACAAAATGGTGGTAGAGGGTGGGCATGTTTAGAAATTAAAACACCAATATTTCATCTTCGAAATAAATGAATAAACTAGACTTAAAGCAGCTAAATCTTAATAAAATTAGTTGTTTAACTCATTTTCTGGTGAAAATATCTAAATTCACATTATTAACACGTCGATTTAGTCAATGTGATACGATCATCTAAAACAACGCACTTCCGAACGTAAAAGTACTCCAGCGCCGTCCTTTGGAGATTTGTGGAACTAAATATGTAATGCCAGTTTCAATAGAACAGAAAAATGCAATAAAATCAAACCGCAAACGTAATGTTTGCGTGTATAGTGATGCTAGTCAATTTTGCATTTGTAGTAA